AAATAAAGTAAAATAAAGTAAAATAAAGTAAAATAAAGTAAAATAAAATAAAGTAAAATAAAGTAAAATAAAATAAAGTAAAATAAAATAAAATAAAATCCTTAGATGGAGAAAAGAATATTACATAGATAGATAGATAGATAGATAGATAATGTATTTTTAGTAATTTTGACATAAGAAAGAACTTTGTTAACATCATATCATTTACAAATCATAAAAAAGTAAAGAAAACAAAAATTTAACCCATATTATATGCCTCTGAAACAAAACAACTAAAGCTAAATCTAAATTTATAAATTCTGCCGCTTAGTACTCCTATGCTTTGTTTGCCTAACAAGTTTCCTAGTAATGATAATACGGTTTAGAGTAAATGTGGCTGGTTAAAAGTACAATTAATCATTCTGGTGGACAAAATACGAAATTACCTTCCGATCGACGCAATAATAAATTCCTCTGAATTCCAATCTCAATGAGCTTAGACTGGACATATTTGATGTAAAATATTTCGACCTAAAGATCTAACCCAGACCTACTCCTCTTATCTCAAAATTTAGAATTCTAGCGTTCTCCCTGCAACAACCTCTAACACAAGAAGCAACACCAAAGAGTACAGTTCCAGTGGAAGAAAGCGAGGCCAGCTCGGTCTGCGACGAGTGTCGCTCAGAGGTTTCCAGCGACGTGATCAACCTGTCGCGACGGGAGATACACCCCATATCCTATGGAACGAACTGGACGCCCAAGCCGAACTTCTCGGGATACAAGGAGCCCCAGAGGAAGGCATCGATGAAGTCGATGCACACGATCGCCGTCGTCAACGACATAGAGGACTCTGACAAGCTGTCGCCAAAGCAGCTGCGGCACAGACGCGGATGTCACACAGTGATACCTAGCAACTCCAGCGACAAATCCAGTGGATGTTAACGCAAACATGGGTAGAATTTTTCTAGAACCGGGGATGACTGATCAAAGGCCATTCGTGATGGTTGCGTGAGAGAACAAGTACTTGGATGACGGTTTCTATGTTGGAGGTTGTATTCTGTGATGGGGATGGACACTTCGGATCGTGAACATTAGGTAAATTTTATTAATACACAATAATTATTGTTTCGATTCAACACTTAAACTACCAGGATCAAAGCATATGTATCATACAGAGTGTTCCAGAATTAGTGTAAGAACTGGAAATGGAGGGTAGCTGAGACGATTCTGAACCACAATTGCAATAACCTTTGCAAAAATCTCGAATGGTGCTTTGTTTTTCGTTAATAATTCAAAAACGAAACACCATCCGACATGTTTGCAAAAGAAATTATGGTTCAGAATCGTCTCAGCTAGCTCCTATATCCGATTCTTACACTAATTCGGGGTCACCCTGTATAAAGGGTCTACCCGTTAAGTTATGCCACTATTTTTTAGGTATTTCCGGTAGTGCAATTTATAAATGTTTTAAACAAAAATTTATCAGTTCTTGGTGAGCTAGATGTTTGCATATCTTTAAATCTGAATAACTGTTTTTTACATAAAAATGTAAAGGTCACCTTGACTTTTTTAAATTGCATCATATGTTTTGTACGTCATAGAGTCGTTGCTGATGTCGGGATGAATTCAACGGCGTTAGTATGACCTTAAAATGATCTTGAAAATTTTATGACAACGTAATTTTAACCCTTTGCACTCTGCACAATCTCATTGCAAAATGTGCGAACAGGAATCGTATTACATAAAATATGTAATATTTTGGAATGAAAATTTGGAAACGTGCTTTTTTTGATATTAGCACATTTGATTATAAATTCTTATAGCTATCGTGAAGCGGTAACTCTAAATCCACTAAATCCTTTATGTTTGCAGTGGTGTCACTAACAAAATTTGTTAGACTTACGATCCCCTCATGGGGTACATCGGAGAACAAAAGGTTAAAGAAAAATTATATCTTATAAAATAAATCACGTTATATAATATGTTCGAAATGCGATCCAACTTCTACGATACAGAGCTCCGCTCTGTAAGGATATTTATTTAGAGGTTCGGCGAAAACTGTCAAAATTCCAAGACAACACACAATACAGGGTGTCTACGTATAAGTTCGGACATACGCAGGGTGTCAATTCTACAACAAAAAATTACTCTTAGACATTTTCTTTGTGTCCCCATATTCTTGAGTATTTTCACTTTTAATTTTTGTTCTGTGATTTCGACTTGACAATCTTTAAACGGCCATAACTCCACCAAATTACAGGGCAAACTTAAACATCAGTACACCATTCGAAAGAGCGTTAAATTTTCCACCTCTCTGATGCAAAACCAAAATTTATTACGTAGGTTTAATAAGTGAAAAATTAGGTCAAACTTTACATTGTGACAATTTTTAAAAATTTGACTTTACCTGTTTTCGTTTTTCGGTGGTATTTTAGGGAGAAATTGACACCTCAAGGTTTTGTTTTTTTCCAATAAATTATTTTTTTCAAATTTAGACTCTTTTATCCGATCTCCTGTGCTGAAAACATCGATTTTTTGCTTTGTGAAATCGATTGTGTTGCAATCTCCATATCATTTATCGGTACACCGAGGTTGATTTTGATTAAATAGTCTCTAAAAACGATAATTCTGTGGATACATGGTTCAAAAACAATTATTATTATAAGGGAGAGGCTTGAGGTGTCAAAAAATCGGTTTTTTTCTTAATTGGGGAGGCCCGGGAGTGACACTAAAAAATACATCAAACTCGATGTCAAGTTAATTTTAAAGTGACAAGTCGATTTTTGTTGAAAAATGTCGATTATCACCTAAAAACGTCCGCTTTTCTGCATTTAAACGTCATTTTCTCCTTAAAATACCACCGTAGAGTTATTTTTGACTATACCATTCAACAGCTGAGACTTTGAGGAAGTTTTTCCCGACGTGCGACCGCCAAACAACTATGTATTTGAAACCGAAAAACGGATAGAGAAAAAGTCAAATTTTTAAAAATTGTCACAATGTAAAGTTTGACTTAATTTTTGACTTGTTAAATTTACGTAATAAATTTAGGTTTTGCATCAGGGCGGTGGAAAATTTAACGCTTTTTCAAATGGTGTACTGATTTTTAAGTTTGCACTGTAATTTAGTGGAGTTATGGCCGTTTAAAGAGCGTCAAGTCGAAAACAAGGAAAAAATTAAAATACTCGAGAATAAAGCGACACAAACAAAATGTCTAAGAGTAATTTTTTGTTGGAAATTTGTTGTTGAATTGACACTCTGCGTATGTCCGGACTTGTACGTAGACACCCTTTATATAAATCAAAATCATATCGCAATACAAATTGAATGACTAATCAATAAATTACTAACACAAATTGATAAACATAACTGACAATTATAAAACATACAAACATATCTAGTGGTTTAAATATAAACATTCATCCAACATTCACATTACAATACATTACAGCTCTTACAACTTTAACAACATTTACAGATTTTGGAATTCTGGGTTCATCTTAGAGGAAAAAGACGACCAAATCGAATTTTATTTTTACCGCGGCATCGTAGTAATCTGTGCTAATGACTAATAAGCAATCTACGCGTGCACCTGGCAATATTAATGGCGGTATCGCGTGCGGAGCACCCTGTTTCCAAGGTTTGAGTCGTCTCGATAAGAAGAAATGTCCTGTGGACGACGTCAGGGCAAGTCACAGTTTAGAATTCGCGTACGCGTGCCATTCTATACCCAGGACGACGTATTTTAATTTATAAACAGATTTAAGGGTCTTTAGAAAGCTCGTAGCATCGAGAAAGTTTGAGTGTATACGGGGGTACCGCGCTCGGGTAGCGTGCAGTCAGTGGGTTGGGATGTCAAGGACGTTCGGGAGGAGTTTAGGTCTTTTTAAGTGGGACGGTTGCGGACGTCTGTGTACACCTTGTAAATTAATGTTTCTAGGAAGGTACTCAAAATGTATTTTTTGAACATTTTTTGAAATTTTTGAATTGAAAAGGGGAGCAATGAGAATTTATCATAATGTATTTTAATTTTACATGTGTGAGCATGGATTGTTAATTTAAAATACATTCATATGGAAGATGTACAGTGTCCAGAAATGTGCAAATTAAAATCTATGAAAATTATATTGTACTAATGGTAATAGTTGATGCTCAATTTTGTAAACAATTCAATACTAGTATATCAAATTTGTAATTGGTAATGGTAAAAGAAGAGTCTGTGTATTTTTGAACATACACGTATATCACAATAATTCTCATCGTATGGTGTAAAAGACAGTTAAAAAAGAAGCTTAATGAGAATCTTAATAATAACTATGTACCTGACTTGTCCATTACCAATGTAAAGGAGAACACAATCTACATCTTCTATATATATATATATATATATTGATCTTATACATTATTATTATGTATGTTAAAATTTTGTTGATCCAATAAAATATATTCTTGTTTCCCCATACTATATTTGATGCGTACACATACACTTGTACAACTGATTGTACATCACAAGCTAACTACATATATGTATACCGTGTTCTGTACGATTTTCCTGAAAAATTAGGGAATATAATATGTTTACTGTTGGCAGTTTCTTCCAGCCATCAGAGATAAAGAACACTGCAAATTTTCATTGCGTGTTACTCGATGTCAACAGTAATCACATTTTACTTTGAATTCCTCAAGAAAAATGCGACGAAAATTTCTTGTTTTATACGCGAGCTTATATGTATAGAAAATTGTATAGATTATTGTGTTGCTGATTCCTGTGTAATCGTAAATACTTAGGTAAGATTTGTATTAATGTAATTTTTATACATAACAAATACAAGAAATTTACAAAATTTCAATACAAGTTATGAATAATTGTAAAATTATATTGTCTTCATAATGATTTATAAATACTCAACAATTATAAAACAAGTAGCATTCTAATTGTTTTCTTGATTTCTCAATCTGGAACTTGAAATACAGTGTAGTAAGTTTTATGACACTTAGATTTTCAAGGTCCAAGGCATATCCAGTATTCCAAGTCACACGTCATTTAGAATTTTGAGGTACAAGACGGTTGGAACTTCTGAATATATTCAGGTATAATTCAAAATACAAAACATTTGAATTCCAAATCACTAAACTGCGGATCTTTATGCATTTATAATATGTTGAAATATGCAAAATATATGCAAAATATATGCAAGATACATGCAAGATGTATGCAAAGTATATGCTAAATATAAGTATAGGGAATGTATGTATGGATCTATAAAATAATTATACAATAACTACTTATTATTACTACATAATTATTTAATAACTATTTTTTATTGTTTTATTCATTATAATTTAAATTAAAATATACAACAATAGTTTTTTTAATATTTTCGATTGTAAATTGATGCCTCTTATCTGTTAAAATTAATTTATACGCCGAAAAAGAGGGTTCTATATCACATGATGTTGTAGAGGCATATTTAAATTTACTCCAATGATGTGCCAGAATCTCTCGTGGTTCTCCAACGTGTTCACCCTTTAAAATCTTGCTTATTTTGAGTAATATATTAAAGTGTACGTTTCGTTTTAATACTGATTCCATTTTATCTATAACTTTTTCTCCATAATCACCGGGTCTAATTTTTAAATTTTCTGTAACTGTAGTTACCAAATCTATAGATTCTGTTTGAGGTAATCCTATTGTTTCCATTTCTTTATGGCCTCAGCTAACATTGGAAATGGTTCTAAATAAATGTCAAATTTAGTTGAAAATACTCGCATCGTAATGCTTCTTTAGTCGATTTAATTGACCAAGCCTCCTTTTCATCCAACGATTCTATGACGTCTTTTATTCCTTCTAAATGCGTTGCATAAAAAAACGCAGGTTCCAACCAAGTCCAAAAATATGCAACATATGCTATATGCAAAATATGCAAAATAAAAAATATATTTTTGGAACCATCTAATCATGACATAAATTTCTGTCCAGGTCCCATTCGTCTACCTATTTTCTATAAAAATATGCATTTGCATAAAGATCCGCAGTCTACAAATCACATATCACTTGGAATTTTGAGGTACAGGGCAGTTGGAATTCTAACGCGTACGATACTTAGAATTTCGAAGTACAAGACATTTGAATTCCAAGCCACACATTCAAAGAATACGAAACCTAGAATTCCACGATGCAGGATAAGGCACACACCATTCGGAATTCCAAAATACAGGGTACTTGAAATTCAAAAATCCTTTTCACAATGATTTTCCAATTATTTACCAGCGATCAGAAATGGGAACGTCAAGCATAATTTTTCATGCAGGCACCTACACATAATCTCAGGGTCGCTAAACGTCGCTTCACGGGGAGGGAGTGTCATTTAACGAACAAATTCCTCGTCACCTCCTTTGATTATTCACCAAGCAAGAGTCCCGAGGTTTCTTCGACCCCCCTTCGGGGTGAGTTAGACAGGACCCCCGGTGGAGGGGGTTGCTCCCCAATGCGCATGCGTTCGAAAGGGGTAGCACTTCCCATTTTCCAGCGGAGTATTATTCTGTAACTACATCCCTTGTGGGGTAGGTCTACGCGAGATACACTCTCGGCAACAGACACTCGCTCAAACAACTCACCCGTTGGATAGTTCGTTTTGGTTCGTTGGTGTTATCGCGACTTGTGTAGTCGTTTGCGAATTAAAAAAGGGTTGGAAAAATTGATATTTTGAAAGGACAAAGAGGTCGATGATCTTGGGCTCTCGAGACGGGCGTGAACGGATTGTTTTCCAACGCGTTCGTTGACTCTTGACGCTGAGGATTCCTGAGGATGTAAAGATCAAACACGATCATTCCCAGAAGAACACAAAGGATCAACATCAGTTTTAGCGGTCTCTGCTTCTCAGGTAAGGGTAATATAGTTGATATCGTAGAGAATACTGCAACAAATGCCGATGCGAGGGATTGTTTTTACAAACTTTCTTGAATGAATGTTTTGGTAATGGTAGACACTGTTTATGGTTGGTTCATAGGTTTTTACTGCCACGTAGTTATCGCGATTAAGTAAGGTTTTAATATATTTTGCGTCATAGAGAACTTTGACTGATGCAACAAATGCCGATGGATGATGTCAGAAATTATTTTGATAAATTCTTTTGAATAGATTTTTAGTTAATAGCGGACACTGTTAATGATTAATTCATAGGTTTTGACAGGTTTGTTTTGCTACGTAATTCTCGCGATTAAGTACGGGTCTTAGAGAATTTTAACTGGTTAACTGACAAATTGTTTTGATAAACTGTTTTAAATAAGTCTTCAATTAATTGTGGACACCGTTATTGGTTCATAAGTTTCGACAGGTTTGTAACTTTGCTACGTAGATATCGCGATCAAGCACCAGTCCACGTGCATGCTGTAACGTGACAGAAACCTTGTTATTGATTTTGGGTTCAGCATCCGTAGCGCGCGCAACGTGTATATGTATCAGGCAGAGCGTGTATTTGGGCAATGTACATATTCGACATAGCGTGTACATATTCGAGTGTATTTACTCGTTTCATCAGTGAAAGTGTAAACAGGATTGATTAATATTAGTAGTACTTGTATTATATGTATTTACTATAGGAATGTAGTATTTATACTTATTGTTAGTGAAATTGTCGGTAATTGTCATTTGATAATTTTTCAATTACTCGAAATGTAATCGAGATCTGACCGTGACCCATTGGTTTCGTAACCATTTGTCGGGACTTGTGTTTTCACTCCAGGCAATGAGAGACCCCGTTAAACCAAGTCACGTGACTGTGGGTCAATGTCATTGGTCCATTGCATCTCTGGCTAAAAGTGAAAATGCGAAAAGATTAGATGAAAGGATAAATTAAAGGAGAGTGCATTTTATTTGTGTTTTCTTTTAACCAATATATTAAATTCATTCATTTCTCTAAATACCTAATACAAGATATTTATGATGTATAATAGTCGTTAGTAGTTCACCATGCGAAAAACATGGATTTTCTAAACTTAATCCGGCAACGCGCAGTGACTGTCCTTGAGCTTTGTTAATTGTCATCGCGAAAGCAAGACGCACAGGAAACTGTAGTCGTTTGAATAACTTCAAATCCATACTAATACTTTTCAAATTATTTATTTATAATGGTCGCGTGAACAGCAAGGTCATTAGCGACCATAGTATAACACATAATTACAAATTAATTACAAATTAATCGTACATATACAATAGTTAAACTTTGTTATATAAGTCTACACTTTTAAAAAATGAAAGAGTCGCAGTGATATTTCTAAGACTGTTAGGGCAGTCACTGAAATGTGTCGGAAGTTTGAAATCTAGTCGTTTAGATTGAAACATTGGCCAGTCAAGTAATACATGTGCAATAGATAATTTAACATTGCAGGATTACAGATCGTAGGTGGATTTTTAGTAATTTTGTTAGGCATAGATCATATTTGTGTGGTCGATTCTAAGTCGCGTAATAACAACCTGATCCTTCCTGCCGGTAATATCAGGGCATTTGTGATTAAAGACATATTTTCTTATTTTCAATAATTTGAGTGGTGGTGAGCCCATACTGATATTATAAATGCGAAAGTAACTCTGTCTATCTATTACCCTTTTACACGCCTAAACCGCTGAACAAAAATATAATTTTCTTGAATTTAAATTTGGTAATGGAAGCATTTGTCGTTTTAAATAAGGGTAGTCTCGTATACAGGATGAATCATGTATCTTATTCTTCTATGTATAGTATTCTAGTTCTTCAAATTTTTTATTTTGACAAAAAGAAGGCTTCAGGTCGAAATCTCAATATTTGTATTTGAAGAAATTGACAGTTTAACAATATGATGTATTTTATGTCGTATGCGTTCAAGTGACATTTCAACCACGTGATGAACCTTCGTGAACCAGTCAGTGACTGTCTTTTGCTTTCTGTAACAGAGATGTTTGAATCGATATTTCTGATTCTTCATATACAAATATTGAGATTCCGAACTGAAACTTTCTAGTTACAACAAATTAAGTAGCATAAAAACCTTCTCCGTGAAAAAATAAATATATGTGCTAAGTTTCATGTTGATCGGTCAAACAGTTTTGATGTTTATAAATCACATATAAATATATATACATCCATTTTTATATATGTATATATTGTATATAGATTAAATTCGTATGTGGAATTTATAATACATGAAATTCATAAATTGTGTGACTTCACAATATGTGAAACTCGTGAATCTTAATTAAAATTAATTAGTTTAGAGATTAATGTTTAAAGACCAAGACAAAATTTTACTTGAATAATAGATAACGAGTAAAGTCAAATCCTTTGCAAGATATTCGTGACTTCAATGAAAAGTTAAATTTCAATTCCTCCGTTATGAAAAAATGTTAGCTTGCAATTTGAATTCAAATTTTTATTTAACAAGTAAGGGATGAACAGTTTTCGTCTAGGTAAGACTCTCATCTTCTAATAGATGTAAGCTCTCGAGTAAATTTATTTCAGCATTGCATCACCCCTGTTAATTTATTCAATTTCTTTCCTTGTACAATCATGAGCTTAGCGATTGAAGCCCGAAGCATCCGATTTAACGAGAATCGAGGTCACGATGAAACGTGTGACAGTAACGAGGAAGCGAATTGAAAAATTTATTGGAAAAGTAATCTGTAAACGTGGCGCGCCGATTTATGGTAGACGATCGCGTGTCGCGCGTGATTCAGTTATCGTTAGTCAAATGTATTACTCGTATGTATTGTCAATGGAAACTTTTCAAAATCAATATTCTCTATTCAATATTGCAATTCCTTGATTTTGCAGACGTTTAATTGAACAAAAAATGAATAAATCGATATTCCTCAAGCGAATATTACAATTTCTCGATTCTGCAGATTAATTTTAACAAAAGAATGTTTAACTGAATATTCCTGTATTGGATGTTACAATTCCTGGATTTTGTAATTTCATTCTAACAAAACGATGTTTAATTAAATATTTTTGTATTGAATATTATAATTGCTTAATCCTGCAGTGGTTTAATTCTAACAATAAAAAAGGTTTAAATCAATATTTTTCTATTCAATACTACTACTATACTTTGACATAAAAAAAGGAATGTATTGAAATTAAAATTTTGTGATAGAAATCGTCGTAAAAAATGAATATATTCAAAATAAAATTGTTATACAAATTATGATAAAAAATTAATACTTATAAAATCAAATTCTGTGATATAAATCATGATAAAAAATGAATGCTTCGAAAATCAAATTCTATGATAGAAATCATGATAGATATTTAATAAAATAATTCCACAATCATTAAAACTAACAATATTCCGAAGGCGACGACAAACTAGGTCATCGAGAAACATTCTTATGACTAGACTGTGGATCTTTATAGGAAATCAACACAAAACGCAAACAATATGCAAGAATATAAAAAAGATTGAAAGTAAAGTTCATGTTATAATATTTGCAGAAGAAAATAAATTCCTATTCAAGTTAAATATTTGTAGGCTCGTTCGCGAAGATTTTATTTTGCATAAAGATCCACTGTCTACTTATGACGAATACATTTCATTTACGCCAGGTGACTATAGATTTTCATCTGAAATTCATTTTCTCGAACTCGTGTCTTTCTCGAAATTGAAAACGCTCGTTTGCTACCTCGTTAATGTACAAACACCGCACAATACGATACATGTGTCATGAAATTTCCAATGATGATTCGTCGGCCACGTTACACACTGTTGAAATCGATTTTGATTCTTCAACGAATGAACAAAGTGGAATATTACGTCGCCGCATCGTTTCGTAGAAATTGAAGTTAATGAGCATTCGTGGCGCGATTCGCGAGAGTAGAATCGATGTTTGTTGTTGTGTATGTGTGTATGTGAAGATGTCACGATACATTTTTCACTGCACTTTGTTCAGGTCAGGAAATAAACGTACTTTATTTCCATTGCAGCAACGATGATTTCCCTTTTACAAAAATGAAATAATTGAGTAGACGTTATTAGCGCTCTGGAAATTAAAAAAAATAAGTAGACGTCATTAGATCATCCTCTATCTAGTTTCCAGCAGCTACTCCATATATAGAATAGTAATTAGAATTTTTATGACACTTCAAAAATTTGATCGATAGTCTCTCTGGACCACAACAGTTTTCATGTCATTCATTGTCTATCATGATTATCATTACAGAATTTGATTTTAAAATAAATAGATAATGTATGAAACATAATCCACGTAAAAGCTCTAAAACAATTTATCTTATTAATTAAAAAGAACAGCAGGCAGTTATGATACATCACGTTACGCAACGATTGTTACATGCTCCTGGCTTATCGCGTGTTTGTCCTCGATGACTCCTATCCTGCACGAGCAGGATGCTTTTACATAACCGATCTTGTAACGTAATCATAATCGATTCACCTTCAATTCCAAGCGTATACTAAACATCTAAGGTCACAGGAATTCTTATTTGTCAAATTATGATACTGTTAACTACTCGCGGTTGCCGGGATGCCGTTCGAGTTTTGTTGGCGTTTGTACGTGTGTGCCGACGAGTTTGTCGAAAGACCACCCTCGTTAGAGGGAAATGTGTAAGCTCCGGGGTATTTAATAAATTCTTTAATTCGTTCGGTTGAACAATGCTGATATATTCGTCATAAAATAAACGCTACACGGACATTTATAATCGTAATCGTAATTGTGTTCGTAATCGTAATCGTAATCCGTCTGTAACTCTGTAATCGCTATTGTTCTCTTCCTCTTGTCTTAGCCAGAGGGCGATAGTATATGTGCGCGCTGATTACGCTCGCGGCGCGAAAGTTTGAATTGGTTAATTGCCTTACAAATGAAAAATAGACAAATTGTGGTGCACAAAATTTACTATAATTAGTTTGTCGCGAAGTCCAATATGCGACTTGGTACTGATACGTCTAAATGACTACGAGCATCTCTAAGGTTCGAGTGTGTCACTCGAGAGTTCTAGACTAACAATCTACAAGTTGATTCTGAAGACGCCTTGCCGGGGTGAAAAACGCGCTGATAGGTTAAAATTAACAAAGAGGAATTTGGTGAGGGAAGTCAGAGTGACTGTCAACTTTTAACGATATTTCGAAGCGAAAGCTCAACGTGTTTTGCACGTGTAAACAATAAAGCAAAATTCCAAAGTGCGCCGAACGTTGCGAGGCTTTATGGTCCTTAAGGGTTTTTCGGTGCTACGCAGGGGTCTAGAGCGCTTCGAATGCGACCGTTATAAAATCGCGACGGAGTCTTATGGTTAAACAATGCAAGTGAAAGTTGTGTCGACTGAAAATGAACGGTGGTCTTAACAGATACGAACACTACCAATAATGACGAATTATTTTTTAACATTTATTCAATTATTACTTCTTCTTAATTTATTTACAAACTGCCTTCTCCACTAGTATACAATATTTTTAAAGAAAATATAACAGCTTTATCGTAAACAAATCCTAATATCTTTTTGAGAGTGTTCAATAGACACTAGACTCTACTAGATTCCATTAGACACTAGAGTCCAATAGATTAAACAAATTATACACGATTGTACTGTGGCTCCGTACTACTCCTCCACCCTCCCCTATAAAAATATAGTGTGGCTTCAATTTATTTTGTAAGCTAACGTAACCCTAAAAGTATCAATTTTTTGAACGCTGCTTGGTGATTTCAGGAGCCATGGCTGAGAAGATGTACTATTGGGGGGAGGAGAAGGATCACGTCGACCCGGAAGAGACCTTCATAGAGTTCAAGGTCAAGTCATCCGCATCAGAAAAGAAGCGCGAATCATCTCGAGCAGTTCCCAAGATGGCTGTCTCGTCGCCTCAGGGCAGAGCAACCGAAGTTGGGAGTAGAGTGGAGGACACTGAACGTGGAGGTTGGGATAACAAACTCGACTTCCTGTTCTCCTGTATTAGCGTGTCTGTGGGTCTGGGAAACGTTTGGCGTTTTCCGTATTTGTGTTACAAAAATGGCGGAGGTAAGTTCCTCAATTGCCTTAGATTGATAGACTGTGGTTTGGAATACTTAGGTATATGACAATTAGAATTCCAAGGTACACGATACTTGAATTTGTTAAGTACGAGACACTTGGAATTCTAAAGTACACGACACTTGGAATTTTGATGTACTACATAGACACTTAGAATTCCAAGATACAAGACATTTGAATTCTAAAGTACATGCTCCATGAAATTCAAAGATACACGATATTTGGAATTTCACATTCACAATTTTAAATTCCTAATTCTACATTTTATTACACATACAAAATTTCTGAGTTACCTTCATCCTCGACTAAGGCGATTTGAATGCATCAGTCGTTCGTCCTTTCTCAAATTTTTGGGATTCCGTGACAATTATCGAAGTATTATTTGCTGTTCGTGGATAATTACTCGAAAATGGAGCTACTCGTGGTCGTAAACGTATCGAGGATCATGCGGTGTTCATGACAATGTTCCTAATCAACAAAGACAATTAATTTTTGACGTTGAATATGCGAGGTTGCGTCGATAATTATGCATTCGCTCCGTGTCGTGCTCTCTGCTGACTAATTAAAACTGTTTGCACGATGCATACTTGATCAGAATACGTTAGTGTCTGTATTGAAATAATCTGTTACAGGTGCGTTTCTCATCACGTATGGAATTGCTATGGTGTTCTGTGGGATTCCAATATTCTTTCAAGAAGTAGCCATTGGCCAATACCTTGGGGCTGGGGGGATGACCCTGGTGGGACAACTGTGTCCTTTGTTGCAAGGTAATTTAATTTTCATTTTTAATCATTTAAAAAAGAATGTCGCGATGAATTTATAATTATCTTGATCAAGATTAACAAGAATAATTTAAAAAATTATTTATTATCTATTATCTATTATTCATTACTTTTAAAAACCAAAAGACATTTTAATACGATTGTAAATATGTAGATAAAGACATAAGTGGGCGAAGCAATTGTCGAAATTTAAATAATTGGTGGTCGAATCGAAAGTTAATATGTCTTTCATACAAGAAAAATAATGTGTCGAGACATTATTACAATATAATAATTCACAAAAATACATTATCAAGCCAATAAGTTAGTCTAATTTTTAATAAGTTAGTTCAATTAGATGGATGAGTCCGATCGATTGTTGTGAAGGACCCATGCAAAGTATAGTTGTTTTCAACTATTTATATACCTATAAATTCATAACAATAAGTATTGCAATGAATGTGTATTGTTTAATACCTAACTTTTAATTTTACCAATATTTCCTAGGAGTTGGATACGCAACTATGACGATAGTATTCTTCCTTGACATCTACTACTGTATAATTATCGCTTGGACACTTTTCTACCTAATCAGTACCTTCGTCAACATACCTGGTGTTCCTTGGAGTGGTTGTGGTCAGTTAAATAATTAAATATTACAGTCCCTTTTGGAATTCTCCAACCAGAATGTTCCACCAACTTCTTTCTTGTTAACATTCATTGTTGTAATTTTTCAGGCAATTGGTGGAACACTGAACACTGCTACGACGCTTCAGAAAAGCTTGAGCACATCACTGGGGTTAACAGTTCAAACACCACGAATGCCACCACGCCAGTTGAAGAATATTGGGAGTGAGTAAACGTTCTGTGATATGGTAAATATGGAATATATGGAAATATGGTAAATATGGAAGACATGGTAAATAATACTTTACTGGCAACGATCAGAAGCATCAATACAAGTAGAAGTCGCGAGCAATGGTCAGACACAAGAGTTATATTCAGTTATAGATGTGTAATTTTGTCGAACCTACGAATTTATATATCGAATTTTAATTCTAAAATGGAGCATTGTATTTTATACTGATTAATCATTTTACAGGAAGATTGACTCCTTCTTTAACTGTACCTCCTAATTCAAATTTTCAGAAAGTTTTTTTTTTTAATTTATTTATTTAATGTCGCATCAGCTTTTTAGCCATTAGCGACCGCATTGCAGTACATTGTTATATTTTGTGTCTTATTACATTGTATTTCACATACATCACTTGGTTTTCTTCTGTCTAACGATTTTAAACTACCCAAGACTAATAACACACTACATTTCTTTTATTATTTTGATTTTCTCAAGATAAGTTATTATTCCTTTTACATGTTTTCTTTCATTGAAACATTGTTTAATATCTACAGGAAGTTTTACTTGGGTTCTGGTGTTTTCACAAATTGGACATTCCAGCAAAATATGTTTAATGGATAGTTCTAAATTATAATTTTCACATCACGGTCTGTCAGATTTGGCTATTATGTACTGATGGGTTAATTTTGTGTGACCTATCCTTAGTCTTGTGAGAACAATTTGTTCCCTTCTTGAGAGGGAGAGCGCTGGGTTGTTCGAGTATATATTATCTCTTATTTCGTGTAGTTTAGTTAGGTTCGGTGATGTCCACTCCTGATTCCATTTGTTAAGAGTTTTTTTAGAAAGCTATTCTTGGGCGTCCTCTACTGGTGTTAATATTTCTTCTTCATCATCACTCGTCATTGTATTGAATTGTTGTGTAGTAAATTTGTTAAAGGATGAACCTTTTCGCACAGAATGCGTACATTATGATTTTTATAAAGTTCGTACTGTAAATTGTTAATTAATGAATTGGAATTGTAAGGATTATTGATTTCTGTGAGAATATCAGTGTCGTAAACTGTTATCTTAAATACATATTCAGAATTAATCGGTAACTTCTTTATAGCTTGTAGAATGATATAAATTTTACAAGATTTTTTGGAAATGCGTTGGGAAGACAAATTTTATTCTTTCATTTTTCAGATAGTTATAGTTTAAATTTTCTGAAAAATTTAATAAAGATCTTGGAATAAAATGTCATCGAAAATATACAGTATATAACTTTTTCATACGGCGCTCCATTTTGAGACAAAATTAAGTTTGAAGATTTTTGGAGAACATCTGTGGTTGAATAGAGCTTGGATAATGCGTCTGGCCATTGCTGGTTGCTTTTACTCTTATGATGGTACTTATGAATGCTGACAGTGATAACGTATGATACATCTTTCGTCGATTCTGTTATCGATTGATTAGTTTCAATTAATTAAAATAGATAAGACCACATCAATATCAATATTGCAAGAATCAGCAAGTAGATTGCAAGTAGAAAGAATGAATAATGGTCAGACGCGTTTACCAAGTGCTCAATCAAATGTGCACTCTACAGAGTGTCTACGTATAAGTTCGGACATACGCAGGGTGTCAATTCTACAACAAAAAATTACTCTTAGAGATTTTCTTTGTGTCCCCATATTCTTGAGTATTTTCACTTTTAATTTTTGTTCTGTGATTTCGACTTGACAATCTTTAAACGGCCATAACTCCACCAAATTACAGGGCAAACTTAAACATCAGTACACCATTCGAAAGAGCGTTAAATTTTCCACCTCCCTGATGCAAAACCAAAATTTATTACGTAGGTTTAATAAGTAAAAAATTAGGTCAAACTTTACATTGTGACAATTTTTAAAAATTTGACTTTACCTGTTTTCGTTTTTCGGTGGTATTTTAGGGAGAAATTGACACCTCAAGGTTTTGTTTTTTTCCAATAAATTATTTTTTTCAAATTTAGACTCTTTTATCCGATCTCCTGTGCTGAAAACATCGATTTTTTGCTTTGTGAAATCGATTGTGTTGCAATCTCCATATCATTTATCGGTACACCGAGGTTGATTTTGATTAAATAGTCTCTAAAAACGATAATTCTGTGGATACATGGTTCAACAACAATTATTATTCACCTCGCACTCAGGCTCTACACGCGGCTGGGAGAGGCTTGAGGTGTCAAAAAATCGGTTTTTTTCTTAATTGGGGAGGCCCGGGAGTGACACTAAAAAATACATCAAACTCGATGTCAAGTTAATTTTAAAGTGACAAGTCGATTTTTGTTGAAAAATGTCGATTATCACCTAAAAACGTCCACTTTTCTGCATTTAAACGTCATTTTCTCCTTAAAATACCACCGTAGAGTTATTTTTGACTATACCATTCAACAGCTGAGACTTTGAGGAAGTTTTTCCCGAGGTGCGACCGCCAAACAACTATGTATTTAAAACCGAAAAACGGATAGAGAAAAAGTCAAATTTTTTAAAATTGTCACAATGTAAAGTTTGACTTAATTTTTGACTTGTTAAATTTACGTAATAAATTTAGGTTTTGCATCAGGGCGGTGGAAAATTTAACGCTCTTTCGAATGATGTTGTGACGTGGGACACAGATTCCTGCGTCACAGCTTAAATAATTTTTAAATATTATTATTATATATATTTTACTTGCCTATCGGTAAGGTCAGGTCTTTGTCACAGCAGTCCCGTACGGGCCCTGGCTCGTATGTGAATTTCTATGTTCTTTATTTTATTTAAGATTTGGGATTTCAAATGGATGCGAGCGGTTAATTCAACTATAAAAATGTTCTATTGTTAACATAGCACTGTAATATTTATTCAATTAATATTTTCGTGGTATTGATTTTAATAATACAATGAGTTATGTGATTTGGATCAAATGTACGTTTGGTCGACAAGATTTAATATACACACTTTCCTTCTTTATAATCTCATACAGAAAATATACATATGAAATCGTCGAAAATTCAGTTACGCATTTAATAAAGAAAACAATGAGGAAAAAAAAATACATATATATTTGTTCCTGGAATATCAGATAGGGTTACCCCGGAAATGAAATATATCATTTATTGATATTCCGGAAATCAGAAATTGTGGTTTCATATAACAAAGAACACAATAAAATTGTAGTTTCATATAATAAAGAACACAATAAAATTGTCGGAATAATATTTTAGAAAATATGAATGGAAATACCACCCGAGAACATCAATGAGGGATTCCCCGGAAATGAAATATCATTTATTGATATTCCGAGTGGTCACAATAAAATACATTTATAAATATTTATACAAAAAATATTGCTTGGAAGAAAATCAACTCACCACTAAAATATAACCACTAAATATCTTTACAATACAAATCGAGAAAAACGCTGGTCTCGATGTTCTGAGTTGTTCTGGTCGCCCTGTGGTTGAAGGAAAAACACACGCACACGTTTTACGGTTATAATTAACGCTAAATTATATTTACAACAAAAAAGATTTAGTATCAAAGTATTTAAATAAATTAAATTAATAAAAGAAATCGAATAAAACGAGTTGTTTTACGAGGAACTAGAGTCTTTGCCTACCACTCACTTTGTATAATACTACTAAGTACTCGATATACAACTATGCTCAAATTTAGCTCGCTCGGACTAATATCGCGCTTCGTGCGACTGTACGATGAGAAGTGAGAAGGCTCGTGCCTTGCTCGACCACGTAAACTCGATGGAACGTTCTAGAAGCTTTGGAGACAAAGGATCTTAGAACCCCGTGATCGTGGCCAGTTTATAGAAAAAGTCTTCAAGATTTCGCGACTCGGTACACGCAAGAATTTGGTGTTTACGAGTTGTACCGCGTCTCGCGCCTCGCGCCCACCAAACCGCTCGATTCGTCCTAGCGACGACGTGCGCGCGGACGAATCACGCTGCTATTCGAGTTACGGCTTCGGTATTCGGAGCGTACATGGAGAAGAAATAGCAAAATAAAGGTTTAACCTAAATGTGCGATATTTACATGTCCTTCTTCCAATGATATTTGTAACCGTGATATTTGAACGCGATGGTAATATTCGGTGTGCTTATCTTTCCAACAATTATACATGTATACGCCACTGTTACATTTCATGATTTATCGTATTTACAGTACTAAACCTATTAAAATATTAACAATTGAACATATTTACAAACTTTATACAGGGTGCGGCACTGCCAGCAGGGTGAAAATGGCGTGTCGACGTTGATTTCAAGGAAGGAATGTGTAACTTTATTCAAAAATGAATTTAATGAACTACCGTCAAAGGCTAGGTTTGTGTTCGATTAGAACGAATTCGGGATGGTAAACCATCTCGAACACATTCCTGCCGACGAAATCAAGAAAAATAAAAATGAAAATATCGGCACGTAACAATGTACTGATTTTTAACTTTGCACTGTAATTTAGTGGAGTTATGGCTGTTTAAGGAGCGTCAAGTCGAAAACATAGAAAAAAAAATTAAAATACTCGAGAATAAAGCGACACAAACAAAATGTCTAAGAGTAATTTTTTGTTGGAAATTTGTTGTTGAATTGACACCCTGCGTATGTCCGGACTTGTACGTAGACACCCATTATAAACTCTATCAATTCTATACATTCAATAACTTCTATAAATTCTGTAAATTCTATAAAATCTATGAAAACTAAAAATTTGTTAAGCCATAACCATGATTGATTCTAGACGACGAGTTCTTGGGATCACGTCTGGCATCGAAACGATCGGCGGGATCCAATGGGAGCTGTTGGGCTGCCTGATACTCGGCTGGCTGCTAGTTTACTTTATCATCAGGCGTGGTCTTCATCAGAGCGGTAAGATCATCTGGTTTTCAGCCTTGTTCCCCTACGTGGTGCTTTTCATTCTTTTGGGAAGAGCGGTGACATTGGATGGCGCCTCCGACGGTTTGAAATACTACGTCACCCCGAGATGGGAGGAGTTGCTATCGCCTGGACCATGGATCGACGGTGCCACGCAAATTTTCTTCGCTTACAGTATCGGCACCGGTGCTTTGCCTGCTTTGGGGTCGTACAACAAGTTTCACCACAACTGCTACAAGTGAGCAATCATAGTATTAAACTCGACTTATTTTTCACCAGTACAATGTTTCCAGAAAATTACTTATCGTTGTTTATGTAGTCAAGATTGATTTTAACAGGCTGTTTAAGAGGTACTCTCTGTAGGGTCATTCCATGCCAACTCGGACACTTTTTGAGGAAACATCTCCGATTTTGACGAAATTTCAATATGTTGTAGTCTTTAGTGATATTTGAACGTATCTCAAAGGATTTCGAAATATTTTGAAAATTGTCGATTTTAAAGCTGTCAAAGTTTTGTGCTACCTTTTCTTCAAAAAAATATAGCTATTGAACTAGGCAACGGATGAAAATGACCTTTTACGTGCTTATAGCGAAGACATGGAAGTATCAAATACAAATTATTTCACAACAAAAAAGAGTTTTCTAAACCATTTTTTTCCAAATCGTTTCAAACAAATGCCTTGATTTTAAATGTATTTAAAAATCTGAAAAGAAATGAGTTCATAGCCCCATTTTTCCTCTTTCAATGAAAACCACTAGAAGGTGATAAGTATTCTTACATCTTGCTAGGATGGAATTTGACAGGATTAGGTTATTGGAGAAATATTTTATCATATCTCTGATCACTGATAATATTATTATTTATTTTATAATTTTAACAATCTGTGATTTTTTACTATTGGAATAAATTTTATCTGATAAATGGGATACTATGTCTGTCGGTACAAATGAATGAAATTTTTCGTTCCATGAATGGTTTCTGCAAGTTCATGTCAATCTGTTAATAATTTTGAATGATCTTTATATTCTTGTACTGAGCTGAATTGAACATTAATTTTTTCGATATTAGCGATATTTTTATATTAAAATAAATACAATTTAATAAATCGTAGTTTCCATTTCGATGATTTTGAAATTAATGCAAATAAAAATTAAAGATTTAATTAAAGATTATTCAAAATCCTTTGAAATACGTTCAAATATTACTAAAGACTACAACATATCCAAATTTCGTCAAAATCTGATATGTTTCTCCAAAAAGTGTCCGAGTTAGCATTGAATGACCCCTACAGAATATAACGGTTAGAATATCCTTCAAAGTAAGGTAACTGTTAAAAGCTGTTGACTTCTTTCTTTTTATCTTGCTGAAAATGAAGTTTAATACAATTAGATATACAGGATGTGGCAGAAATAACTCCCACATTTTAAAAAACGATTGAAAAAAGTGGTGCGAGGTACCACCAGACACTTTTTATTTCTTAAATCTAGATATAAAAAAGTTTTTTTTACTTTATGTTTTAAAAATTATGTCGTCCAAATGGTGGCCTTTACGGGCGATACACATTTAGAGTCGTTCTTGAAAGTTTTCCATCACTCGCTAGCATTTCGGGAAAAATTCTTTCAATTTCCTCTTGGATATCCTCCTTTAATTCAAGGACCAAGGACGATGTTTGAAAACCTCGGCCTTGAGATATCCACAGAAAAAAGTCACATGCACTTAAATCCGCCGAGCTACGGTCCATACAGGTCCGTAAAGGCCATCATTTGGACGACATATTTTTTAAAACATAAAGTAAAAGAAACTTTTTTATATCTAGATTTAAGAAATCAAAGGAATCTGGTGTTATCTCGTACCATTTTTTTTCAATCGTTTTTTAAAATATGGGAGTTATTTCAGCCGCACCCTGTACTCTCAATAGTATAATTCACGACAGCAATTGAAATAAGTTAAAAAATGATACTAAACTTTTCTCCCTCCACTTTAAATTAACGTCAACAATTAAATTCGTGGCTAAAAGAAATATAAATAGTGAGACAGGAGGAGAGAGTGCTTCTCAAGATCATTTAAAATGTTATAAATGCAACGTGAACGCCCGAAGTCTTTGAAAATGTGAGCTTTGTCTTCCAGAGATGCACTAATCACTTGTATAGTCAACACCCTAACTTGCCTACTGGCTGGCTGCGTGACGTTCTCCATACTGGGTCACATCGCCTCGGAGCAAGGTAACCACGTGTCCGATGTGGTCAAGAGTGGGCCAGGTCTGGTGTTTCTCACATATCCAGAGGTCGTCTTGAAGCTTCCTGGGGCCTCGATGTGGGCCACCATTTTCTTCACTATGCTGCTCGTAAGAAACAATTAACTCGAACGGAGGAGTGTACTGCCCGCTTCTTCTGCGATCCATGTCTGTTTATGTGTAACGACGTAATTCTATTTATCATTTAGAATTTATATAACATGAATTATTCATGAATTTTTATGATAGTGCATTATGGCCTATGAGCTGTTCTGTTTCATAGGAACCATTTTTGGTTGATGATGCAGTTGTTCAAATAGTGTTTTGTGGTAGAATTATTATGGAATAGGTAGGTTCTATTGAAATTGTGTTAGCAACAGATCTATGGTTAGGCATTCAACAAAAATGTGCTAGATAATGAATAGTACAGGTGACAATAAGTAGATGTTTGGGGAAAGGCGTCAAATAAAAGTATAAATAAGTAGGAGTTAGGAAGATGATGTTCCTAAGCAATTCGATTAAATGAAATGCTTTAAAAGATATCATCTTTCGATTATTTTTAAAGCAAGAATTACAATAAAAGGTAGCTAAAAATTAACAGTACAGGTTGATAGTAAAATATAAACTGTACAAATTAAAGCAACAATTTGTACAAATATATGTACAATGACATACTTTTGGTGTTTGCAATAGATACTCGGAATCGACAGTGAATTCTGTATCGTGGAGTCCTTTATCACGGGTGTAATCGACAATTGGGCTGATAGTCTTCGTCCTCACAGAAAGAAGTTCACCATCGCTATTTGTCTCCTCATGTTTGCTCTGGGACTGCCTATGGTGACCAATGTTAGTATAAATATATCAAGTAAACAACAGTTTCATTTAAATTTATTTCCAGTACATCTAACATTCTTAACGATTACATGAAATACTCTCTTCACAAGTATGTACACATTTTTTTTTCATGATCACGGATTTATTCACGAATTTTAAATTCTAATTTCCATTTAACGAGTAACGAATAAACAATGATAATTAACTTTCATTTCTTATGTATATTATATGAAATAGTATAATATAATAAGAAAAAAACATAATAATATATAATATAATGTAACATAAATAAACAAAAAGTATATTTATTATAAATACATATCGTTATAATTATACAGGGTGTTCAGGCTATTACTAACCAGCGTTTTTCTCGTAAATGGTATATATGACACAAAAATGAAAGACGAAAAATTTATACTGTTTTTGTGTGCAATAATGTAACCAGCTATATTTGTAGATCTTTCGTATTTGTACTATTTTCTGAGAAATGAAGTGGAATGAAGAGAGTATCAAATTCCAAATAAAAAAGTCCATCTTGATATTACGTTAAGACAATTTTCAAGTAATAAAGTAAATTTACTCGTTACCTATTAGGTTTAGGGCTAATAAAGGTCAATACTTTTTTATTTAGAATTCGATACTCTACCATATTTTTGTATAAAAGATATACCATTCCATTTAAAAAACTGAAAGTTACTTTCATTTCTCAGAAAAGAGTATAAATACGAAAGATTTATCTACCTGGTTACATTGGACATAAAAAACAGTATCACATTTTCCTCTTTCAGTTTTTTGTCTTATGTACCATTTACGAGAAAAACGCTGGCTAGTAATAGCTTGAACACCCTGTATATTACACATATGTATTTTCATAGTCTATATATCTATTCTTTATTCTAATATTTATTATTGTAGTGGCTGACGGGAAAATAAGTAAGATTCATGTGCTTTTTAAGACTTTTTAATGGAACGATCGTGTCCGTACTCCGTGGCTTCTCTTACTAGACTAACTTACAGACTCATCATTCGTTCTCCCAAGCATCGCAGACATTCTTTCTTCATTCTCACATCGCGTTCACTCTGTTTAAATAAATGCATTCACCCAAAGGAACATTCGACCCAATCATATAAACATCCGCTCGACGTTCGAACCAATAATCTAAACACTCACTCAACGCTTGTCACGCAACACGCACCTCGATTCACTCTTCCAGACGTAACATTTAAAACTAAACATAATTATTATAAATATAAGCTGAAAACGTGGCGTCAGCTCGTCGCCGATGCCGCCACAATTATATAATATTCCAAACATCGACTCTATTTACATAAGAGTTTTACTTATTTTTACCATGGACAAATAATTTAAACTAATTCACGTTTGTTCACTTGTGTTCCCAAGGGTGGAGTGTACATATTCCAATTGATGGATTTCTATTCAGCGAGCGGTATGTCGATCTTGTGGGTCTGTTTCTTCCAAACGATCGCGATATCGTGGATCTTCGGGGCGCAGAAGTTCTGCGATTGCATCCACCAAATGATGGGCATACGATTGAATAAATTCTGGTACATATGCTGGGTGGTGTTCGCGCCTATGATCATGGCTGTAAGTACCATATTAAGCTTTCGTTGCTATTTGTCGCAAAAATTTCGAAGGAATTCTGCAGAAAAACAGAACGATTAATCAATTTTGACGGGTGGTAATTTTCTTTTTGAGAGCACGCCTAATTGCAACGATCCGTCTATATCTTCGTGCAATGTCGCGCGTTTATCTGACATATGATCGATGCTCTTCGTTTAACCTAATGTTTTCACTTGTGAACTGTAAATGAACAAAGATTTTTTTTAATGCGTTAGGCAGACTACGAGATGCTTTATAAATAAGTAAATGCAACATTTTTGTGAGATATATGTTACATACATTTTTGTGACTTTTTATGTATTATTTGCCACTTTAGAATATTATACTAATTTTTGTTTTTTCTCGCAGGCCATCTTCGTGTTCCAATGCGTTCAATACAAGCCCTTGAAATATGGAAGCGATTATGAATATCCAACATGGGCGGAAATCGTGGGTTTCTGTCTCAGTTTGTCATCCATGATTTGGATACCAGGCTACGTTATCTATTATCTTGTCGTGACTCCAGGATCTGTCAAACAGGTGAAGTATTTGTACATTATGAACAAATGTCGACAATCTTTAAATGTTTACTAGCACTTTTGCTGGGTTCCAATAATGAAAATCGTGCAAATTGACTTTACCCCGCGGTTTCACTCGCGTGAAATACTATTCTTATTGTACAGGGTATTTCACTTAACTTGAGTTCCTTAAATATATCACTTACTTTTTTTGATAGAAAAAATGTCAGGGGGAAGAAAATATTTTGTTCTGAAATAATTTTTAATTGATATTTCCATGTCTTCGCTATAAGCATGTAAAAGATCATTTTCCACAGACCTTTTTCCTCTCTTTATTACCATTCATAAATGTTCCTCAGAATAAGAATTGTGAAAATGAATCTTACTTTATGGTAATAAAATTTTACTGTTACTTCATAAGCCATTTTTAAACATGTAAAAATTTTCTTCTCTTTCACAGAATATTCTAAAAGGCCTAAAACCGAACATAAAGTCTCAACCAAAATTACCAAAAGGCGAGAAGTCCGCAGTGATACCGATGTCCGAAAGTAGCGCTGGCCTAATCACCAAGAACAACAGTTTCCTCAGTGAAACATGATCTCTGTGAACAAGATTTTTTTTAAAGAATTCCTAAGTAGGTTGTAATTATCGTAAGTGAAACGCAATCTAATCAATTTATTTTAACATCGACCAAAGAAACTGCTGGTGCCATACCATCAGTGTTTGTTGCTTCATTTAGTTGACAGAACAATAGCAGAATTTTAAATCCTAGTGCCGAGTAGTACTGTATTTTGGCATTATCGAAACTAATATACTTGTTTAATGTGCACGGGGAAGAATTGTCGAATTTGAACACTACTTCGTACATTTTCAATTACGAAATTGTCCAAACTAGACAATTTTACCAAATACCTAAAAGCACGTGGAACAACTATAACTCTAGACTAGAATTTTAAAACGATGACGGCCTCTTGTAGCTGAGCAAATGAATTTTATAAAGAGATAAAGTAATAATTTATTAATCCTCTAACTGTCAGTTGTAAATTATGGTTTCTGGAACGAATTGGCTATTTTTTTTATTGTGTTTAAGGAGCTCATTTTCAAGAATTTTTATTTCATAATAATTGCAAAATGTTAATGTTTTTATATGTAATAGTTGACACGTTGAGTTAATAAAAAGTTTTTTTTATTTACTTTACTTAGGCTACCTAAACAGCAAAATATTTTAATCTCAAATTATAACACAACAATAGCCCAACCTAGCCAACGGTCTAATTAAGGCTGCTTTCTCTGATGAGAATTTTTAATGTAAACAAAACGTCAATGTGAAATTGTATACATTTTTTAAAGAAACACGAGGTACCGGATATATATTATATTTAATATTTAATAAATCAATTAGTTTATCATTCATAGGAGAACAATAGATAATTAAGTGTAAGTATAACACATAATTTTTTTGTTTACACTTGAGAGTGGCTGTGTCAGGATTGAACAAGTTTTACGTAAGAATTGCTTTTCGTTGTTGCTAAATATTAAATATCGTTTTCAAGAGCATCGCCTCTTCTTTCTTTAACAAATTTTCTCAAGCTCAAGATACCATTGCTTTGAATTGTCACTGTTGTTTGAAACAAGTGGCGATCTTATGCGAAACTAAGCAGTTGTCAAACATTGTGCAACAACTGGCAACATGCCTTCATTCAAAGTTCCTTGCGCGGATTCAGCTGTAATATAAAAGAAAATTTTATTATACATGTGTATTTTTGCTGTGCGATATCGTTTATTGTAATAACGAAGTTTCAATTTCTGGAGAAAGTAGCACAGTTTGATTATTCTTTCTAGAAAATTGGAATTGTAGCTAGCTCAAAAATATGCATAATGTAATTTGAAATTTACGATATGTTATTAAAAACCACTTCAGCGTTTACCACCCGAGAACATGTCTGTTACTGTTTCGTGCAAGCGAGGCCAATAAATATTGTTCGACATAGAAACGAATGCGATACAAGTATTTTTAAAACGAATCTGGTCATTTAAAAATTGACTTAAATTATTTCTGAACTTTCTTTTCAGACAATCTATTGATTTACAAAAATTACTGTATAGATTTGGACATTTTGAATCAAATAATAATCAGGACAGATTGATAAGAATAGACTACTTTTGATATTTTATAATATTGTAATATTTTTTTATACAAATACTCTACTGTGGAAAGTTAATGTTTCGACTGGTCGAATCTCGATTTGATTCGTTCGCGAAGGAGAGCAATAAAAATAAAAAAATACTCGCGGTGCAACGCGCAAGCTTGAGATGGACTGATAGAATATCTTATTACGTAAAAAAAAAATCATTTCCTAATATTTTACGTAAAAATTAAAGCAGCTAAATTATTAATATTACTTTAATTAAATCGTTCCATTATCATCAAGTTTCGTTAAAATAAAATCCTATCAAACTCAATATTTTATGTATTAGGACAAATCAAAGTCTAAATTCAACAAACTATAGATTTCTTTTTAATTCAATGATTCGATTACCCTTAACTATTTTCAAAATTATATTGCTCTCCCTTTTTCTCCAATACTTTTTTATGAAACTTTGTCAAAGCCTATTAATCCAAACAACAGCAGTTCACCGCAACAACAACGTAATTACATTGCATCAATCGATGGATTCTCGACAAACCTACGTAGGCGAAACACCTAAATTGTACGCGCTGCTCGTTCCACGTTCCATTGTACGCCAGCATATTTTTGCGTATTAAATATATGATCAGTGTCATATGCGATAAGCTTGCACGAAGAACAATGCCTGCGAATATTTCGAAGCACAATCGAGCTGTTTGTAATCACGTGTGAACGAAGTTAATTACTCTCACGGATTAGTTGACTGAATGGTACGCAAACGGCAGACGAGGGGATGAAATGCGAAAGGGATGATGGACGAACGTTTTATACGAAAAAATGTTGGTGTGTGAGTCGCTACTAGTATTTTAAATTTTCATACAATGTTTCCGATACTTTTGAACATTTTTCGAAGCATACAGGTTTTGTAAGAGTTTGAATAATGTATCGATTGAATTTTAGATTGGAAGCATGGATAGACATACATAGTTTTGAGCATTTCTTGAATCGTACAGTTTTTATAAGAAGCTGAATAATTAATTTCAAGTCATTTCAATATTATATTCAATATTGTATTTTAATATTATATTTCCAAAAGGTAAATTTTGCATCGAATGATCTCAAACCAAGTGAGTTTTCCTTATTCGATGAAAAAGAAAATCGTTCCTCGATTTTCGATTCTTATCTTTTTTGTAATTTAATTCTGAAGTGTTGGCTGAGGGAAGAAACGAATGATTAGGGTCATAGGGATTGTCGCAGCGAGAATTCAGTACATTCCAATACCTTAGGCACTTTGTTAATTAAACAGGAGGCTCATGAATATTTGTACGATGTCAAAGAATTAATTAACTGCGTGTTGTTATTCTACGGGTAGACCACGTTATCGGAGTGAAAATATTTTACAGCGACATTTTCATTGTATATTTTAGCCGCTAGATTCCTCGACGTAACGAAAATTTAACCAATAATCACAATGTACCTCATATTTTCAACGCAAGCGATGCCAGTTTTCGAGGAAACTGTGTGGAAGTAAATGTAATATCAATAAATTGATTAACATAGGCACAGCATTCTGTCTCTTGCTGCAAAATTCATAGATGATTGCTTCTTCTTAAAACCTTAAATTTTGTTTATAATGATGGTCAGTCAATGACCAGTTATTTTATAATTATTCGAAGCAAAATACGTCATACATTTTCAAAGATGTATATCTCTATAATAGGACATAGGTAGTGTTAATCACTAAACTTTATGTAAGAAAGAGTAGGATGAGAGAAGAACCTTTTTTGATATTAGATTGAGTAAGTAAAAAACAATTATTGTTAGATAAAAAAAATATATAATAGTATTAAATAAAAGCACTGACGGAAAATAATGTCAATTGTACATTGTTTCCTTGGTTACACGAGTATATATAATAAAAGTAATAATTCTTTTGTACTCACTTAATTAATTCGTACTGATAAGTTTGCAAATTGAAATTTAAATTAAACGTCAGATATTAATCAGTTCATTTTTCCAGAGATGTCAAAGGGAAAGGGCTTTGACTCGAGAGGTGAATTTCATTTGATGAGCAAAGTGTAAGCAATGTAAAGAACATGGTTTGGGAGGTTATTACTCTGGAAAATGAGATGCGGAAATTAAGAAGTTACATTACACTCTAAAACAGTATTACGATATCCAGGGGAATTCATCTTTCTTTGAATATATATTACTAGAGATTATTAAATAGACTTATTTTTGCAATTAACAAGCATTGGACTAAACTACACTCCTCGTCAAAAAATTCGAGAAACTTTTTCAAAACGTCATAAATACGAGAGTTTTCAACCGATGTTCGAGAAACTTCGTGAGGCTTAGTTTTGAAGTGTCCTCTGGGTGTGTGCAAAGTTGAATTGATGAGGGTTGATGAGAAGGGGTCAATTCAACCCCCTAAAGGGGGTAGTGCAGAAAAACGACACTTACTACGCGCGCTCTGATTGGTCGGGGTTTTCGCTTAATATCTCCTTAACGAAGCCCCATCCGACATTTTTGCAAAGGAAATTGTTGTTCAGAATCGTCTCAGCTACCCCCCATTTCCGGCTCCTCCCCGACTTTTGGGACACCCTGTATACATCAAGGGTGTTCCAAAAGTATGGAAACAGTCAAATATTTCCAAAATTGAACATTTGTGAGAAAAATGGATTAGAGAAATGTTTTAGGGTTTCAAAAATTCTATTGAACGATTGTGTCCGTTTGACCATCAAAGGACTGATCAAAGTCACGTCAAGGTCAACATGATTTTTTTAATGGAACACCTCATTTTTTATCATGCACTGTGAAAGATGACTATGAGACCTTTTCGAAACACTAGTTTCAAACATTTTTTTTATTCGCAATAGATGGCGGTGTAATCGGAAATCGGGAAGTTCTTTGTGTGGCCCGTAAGGGTCGCACACAAAATAAACATGAATGGCTATATGAATTAAGCCCAGGGGCACATGCCCCCATCTGTCCCCCCACACAAAGTCTAAAATTCCTTCGTCATATCCAACTCCGTTCTATTTTTCGATACACTTTGCGAAGATGTCTCGTTGCACAAAGCCAGCCTAGCGTTGACTTCCTGTATTCAAGCTTTTAAATATTCTTTTACTTCATCGTTTCCAACTCATCGTCTTGATTCTCGCTCACACTTCTCCTCTTTCTACGTGGCCATATCGTGATCCTTGAACTTTAAACGGGAACTCTGCTTTGTTGATCCAAAGAAAGCGGTATTACGCAGAGAGAATTGTAATTGCAATGTAACTACCTCCGCAAACAATGAAACTTTGATAATTTAATGCACGTACCTTAGAAATTCTGTTGTAATCATTTTTAAAGGAGAAATTCTGAGACAAATGCGTGGTAGAAAGTGTGTAACCCATGCCATAATTACTTGTTAGATCTTAATTCAATTTAAGTAACATATTTGTCAACGTGGTAACAAATGTTATTATTGAAACTTTATTTTCAAATATTCAATCTACTGAATCTAAAGGTAAACATTTAAGAATAAATTAAACACAGTAACGAGTCTGGAAAACTATGAAGTGCTTAATCTTACCATTTTTACTCTATTCTAAATCTAAATATTAAATATTAAGTCGTTAATATTAAATTTAACAGTTTCACAGTTGTGTTAATTAGTTGTATTACATTGTTTTAATTCGAAACCAAGGTTTTTTTTACATAACAATTTAAAGCAAAAAGGCTCACGCACCTACTGGAAAAAATGTGCTCCTTATTTTAAAAAATTTTCTACTTGATCCCCTTACAATACATTGTGTTCTACATTTTGTCTCCACGGTTAGCGACCGATGCTACAAACAAAACACAACCCCCTTGTTTTTTCAATTAAAACTAAAATTTCGTGTAAAATTTAATTTTTTATAAATCCAGAGGCGAAGCGAATTGATTTTCACATCACGTTACACTTGAAACTCACTTTATTTCAAAAAGTGATACAGAGCCACTGAAACCAACGCGTATCTCGCTTATTATACCATAACTCTGTAAAAATATTGCTGTCATTTTTTACAAAAAGAATTCTAT